AGAATTTATATTGTATATACATATTATAATATGAATTTTCGGGGTAGTTATTCTGGGGCCTGAAAACTTCCTGTCCGTCTTCGAAAATAATTACCCATATGGGTAATTCTTTTTAAAAGCGGACAGGGATTTTGAATCACCTAGAACATTTTTACTTGTGTGTTTCTGTTCCTCTAAACATTATCGATAACCAAGATAATGTTCTGATAAAGGTAATCTCGCTCGATCCAGGTGTTCGCACGTTTATGATCAGTTACGATCCTAACGGTCAATTAATCAAGTGGGGTAATGGTGATCTCAACGAATCTGTCATTTAATAGATGAGTGCTATCACCAGCTTGCAAGATGGTTGTGTACGAATTACGAGATTATTTTGTTGCCTAAATTCGAATCTTCGAGAATGGTTTTAAAGAATAAAAGATTCGGTCAAAGACTGCTTGTGCAATATTGGCTTGGTCACACTTTAGGTTCCAGATGTTCTTACAATATAAGGCAAGGGAGTTCCGCATTTGCAAGATCATCGAGTGTACTGGGAATACACGTCCAAGACATGCGGATGTTGTGGGTTTGTGAAGAATAACCTCGGAGGATTAAAAACGTTCAAATGTGATTTGTGCAAAATGAAAATGGATAGGGACACGAACAGTGCCAGAAATATCTTGCTCAAATATTTGACAGAGGGTCAGGCTTTGGCCTGACTTTGGGACTTGAACCTATATGGGATACGATATGCATAGTAAAGACTAACTTTATTTATTCATATTGGATTCAATTTCAAGGGTAAATTTCATCAAGTGATTTTTTTCAATTAATAATATATAAATATAGATTTTGTATATATCAATATGTAAATGATTGATATTTACGATAGAATTTGTTTTTTTTCATTAATTATTGATCTATTATGTTTAACACAAACTGAAATCTATTAAGACAAAGAAACTGTTCCATCTTGTCGTACTCGAGACACTCGAATGATTTTTTTTTTAGACAATTTTAAATTTACAGTTCTTTTTTTGGATATCCCGATTTGTGTTACCCCTTCTACATTGATAACAAGTTATTTATAGCCAATGACGGATTGACATCACCCGAGGTCACTTGTCAAACGACAAAAAAAAGCCTGTTTTTTTTTAAAACAAAACTCACCAGATTACGTATGAGTAAAAAACAGGAAGAGAGACATTCGAGGTAAGGGGCTTATGCTTCGGTCATAGTTACTTCGGATTTTCTTAATTTAAAACCGATCCCTTGACCATGTTGCAGGATCATCCGAGAACTATTAAAACAGTCAGAGAATAAAAAATGCTTTGATTGCCCAACAAAGGTTTGAAATTTCAAAAAACTTCAGAGTGGATTTATAAAAAAGAAGAGTTCAGTTAATAAAGAGAAAGATTTCTAAATGTTCAGAATATAACTTCCTCGAAAACATATACAATTTAGCTATTTGATTTTGACTTTTTACTTTCAATTGTCAGGGACCTACTTATGTCAACTTGTTCAATAACACATTTATCTGCGCAAGATGCTCTGGCCTACAGTGAGTTCCTTATATATTTCAAAGGTCACAGCGTCGTGATCCGCTGTCAATTCATTACTTAAACGGAAATTCTGTTTGTGATAAATATCATATTTTAGTCGTGAGTTCAATCATCGCGTTAAATCAATAACAGCTTCGATTTTTACCCCGGCTGAAATAGAATCATTGAAAAATGGGGGTAACGCTGTAAGCATTCAGAATATTTTTTTTCTTTTCCTAATGGTACGGTGTTAAATATATTTGTGGTTAAGTTATGTACATAATGATAACTGTGTAGAAAGCTGCGCAAATATGGCTGGCGAAATATAGATGGATGGAGTTCCCTGAACCAAATCCAGATGATGTGGAGTCTATTAGAAATTTCATGCGCGCGAAATATATCCAAAAGAAATGGTTAGATGCATCGCTATTACCTAATCAACCCTCGAAGATAACCAATAATGAGAATTTGACGGCAAGTATTAGTTATGAGTTTATTCTACCTTTCTTTCCAAGACATCGATAATTAATATTTACTCTATGTTAAAACATGTAAACAGATTAAAGGAACCTTTGTGATTAATCCTCCTGTGTTTAGTCATAGGTCAACCAATTTCAGTGACAATTCTTCAAATAGTTCACTAAGTCGTCATTCTAGCCTCGCGGATGTTCATTCAATATCTCCCGGCGAAAGACGAAAATCTTCTGTCAGTGACATCTCTTCAGATTATTCTTTTCATATGAATAATTTTGGTTCACTTAAGGTAATTAAATAATGTTTTTTGTGAGAAAGTCGCCATACCCGAACTTACAATGTCTCTCCATTAATTCAGTCCGAAAACAATTTGAAAAATTCGTCGAATGATAACACTCTTATTAACATCCCAACATTGCCAAAGCCAAGTTCCAACCCTTTCACTGCAAATCAACCATCAGATAATTTGAGTAGATCTAACACATATCCCGAGTTGAAGCCCGGACGAAATAACGATATTGAAGATTTCTTTTCTTTATTAAGTACCCCATCAACACAAACGATGCAACCAGTACAGTCTCCACAGTCACCCGTCTCATGGAATAATGCATATCCACAACTTGGCGAACTAAATAACACTCCGGTTACAACAGATCAACGACATATTACTCAGCAAACTCAAACATTTATACAAAATGGAGTTAAGCAGGATATATCTCCACTATCTAATAATCTTTTGACATTACAGCCTCAACAACTTCAAAAGTCCACACAAAATAAACAATTTTCAGGAATAACTAATTTCGAATTTTCTGGTGGTCTTAATTCTCCTTCCCAAATTGTTCAACAAAAGATAGTCAATGAAAAAGAAAGACGAGCAACATATCCCGGTCAATCTAATCAATTCGCCACTCTGGATGCATCTATTCCATATAACAATAATTTGTTAAACTTCACATCGACACCTAAGAATTTCGATAAAGTGGTAAGGAACTATTTTCGTCCCTATTAATATTTCTAATTTGAAATTTTTAGCTTAGTTATTTTGAATTCACAGGCCGACAACGCTCAACAGACCACTGCTACTTCAAAGATATTAAATCCTTTTGGCCAAGTTGGTCAGGGCTCAATGAGTTCTATCTCGAGTGCGTATTAAAAGTGTTGAAATATTCAATTTTAACATCCGTAAAATTAATACGTATCCATATTTTGATAATCCGATACCTTTACCTTTCAGGTGTTCTGGAACCCACTAATGCATCCTCTTCACAACAATCAAGACCTGTATCTTCCCCAGATCCTTATCAGGCGTTTCGAAATTTGGATTTAAATGATTCCGGAATCTCATTGAGTAGGCATTGATTATTTTAATTTTATATCATTAGTTTTAAAGTATTTAATAATAATTTTTATGGGTTTTGCAAATTCAGCTTCATTAACTGGGAGTTCAACTCATTCTCTTTCGCCTTCTTCTCCAGCGTCGCAAGAAAAACGTTCAGCATCTGACATTAAGGGCGTTTTTGGTGACTTTGTAACACCTCCGACGTCTGTGGAGAGTTTTAATAATTTCCCCACGCAAACGTCTGACTATGACCTTTTCGGTGATTTTCAAACAGCTTCGAACTATAATGTATTCAATTCACCTAGTTTAAAAAAAGAACTAAGTTTATCGAGTCAATCAAGTTTCTTCGATACGCAACAATCAAATCTTGTCAACGATTTTCCAAGGCAGTCTTCACAAAGATCACGCTCTCAGACACTTGGTTCCCATACTTCATTCTCCAGTGATGTGTTTTCTGATAATTTATCTTCCCCAAATTTATTGTCAACTCAGATGAACCCACAATCTACATACAGACGTATGAGTGGCATTCCAAACACACAGCAAAAATTTGGATTCACCAATGGTAGTGCTAATAGCCATTTCGGAAGCAGTAGTAGTTCGCTAGGTATTATCAACGGTAACATGACATCATCCGTGTCAACGGATCCATTCAATCTGAGCTCTAATAATCCATTTCCGCTTATCTCACCATCGTCGACTGCCTCGCAACCTCCAAAGGAGATGGGTCACGCGAAAAAGATTTCATTTGACAGTGCTTTCAGTGATTTAGACCCTTTAAAAAGTGGAGGACGTATATGAAGATAAACATAACTCTTGGTGACTATTTGAAATATAAGATGTGCATCGATTTTAATCCAGACATGTATAGTTTTGTCCATAATTACGTTGTATATTTAACGATTATCACTTAGATGTAAATTATATATAATTTTTATAAAAGGAGATATCAATATAAATAAAAAAGCATTTACTTAATTCGGCGAAAGTCTAGGATTAAAAAACATTGGCTCCCATTATAATAAAAATATTTATTAGTAAAGGTTTCTATTAATATTTAATTAATAGAATAACTTAAGGCTCGAGTATAGTAGGTCACAAAGTCCGGTTACCTTTCTTCTTGGATCCATTGTCATCTCTGTTAATCTCTAAACTATTGTACATGTAATCTTTATTTAAAAACTTGGTATAATGAGCTAAAGGTTTAAATTATTTAACAAACTCTTATTGACAACATATTTCTTGTATTAAATTATAATTAAATATTTTTTGTTGAACATACTTATTTGATCAAAATTACATTAGCTATCTTCTTTAAATATCCTTTTGATAAATCTACTTATTTCTATTTTAACTTTTAAATCTGCAAATTTAATCAATTTTAAATTTTAAAAAATAGATAAACACTTCAAAAGATATTTCGATAATATGTATATTTTTTAAATGGACAATTATTTTAAAAGGGGATAATAATTTTTGGATTCTGCAATTGTGCTTTTAAAATTTATATTATATACTATATATCTTATTTGAGAATAGAAATTAAAAATTATACTTGGAATTTTTATTATTTTCAAAGATAACTGTTCAAGTATAATATATAAATTTAAAGAAAAATGCATTTTAAAAAAATTTTTTTTTATTGAAATCTAAAATTATAATATACCGAAAGCCTCTCTTTAGAAATTATTAGAAATTATTATATAAAAAATTAATAAATAAATTAAATCAAAGTTTATTTCTAATGATTGGATTAATATAAATTTATATAAAAATATTTTTAATAATTTTCTATAATTAAATTTAACAGTATAAAAAAATATATTTGTTAAAAAATCTTTTTTTTTTTAATTTAAAATTTATTATATATTTGTTTTCTTTCAATTTAAATTTTAATAATAGATTTAAATAAAAATTAATATTAAATATTATAATTAAAAAAAAATTTTTTTTTTGGAATAAATAAATATTATTTCTTTATTTAACATTATATACAATATAAAGAAGTAACTGTTACAAGCTTTTCTTATGCAATCCAAAGAAAAAGCAAGATTTCCAAACTTGTTTTTCTCTGGCCAGAGGTCCTATTCCCATATACCAATATACTTTTTTAGTTTCCTTGAGGCTCTTG